GGGACGGAGATTCGATGGGAGCTCTCCAAGAGCTGCCGTCCTGGTCCAGCCAATCTCACTCCATATCAGGTAAGCCCTAAAGTGGATTAATTGGAGTTTAAGCAGTAGGGTTAGACAAGGTTAATCTACAGGGCTTACCCGGCTAGTCCTTATGCGCATGCGCACTGCTCGGGATAATTAGATAAATTAGGCTGCAGAGCGGGCTCATAGTCATTCGCTCGTTTTGAATTGCAGCAGCGTCCCCTCTTTGCTTTCCCCACCCACCCTCTCCTTACACTCTTTTCCTTTTCTGTTTTCTCTTGTTTCCTTCTTGAGTTCATGGTGTTTATGTCTGTTTGTTACCTCCATCGGGACTGTCCTGGTGTGAAAGTGGGGAGTGCCACCTCCATATCTGTCTGTGGCTAAATGGGAAGGAGATGTTATAATATTTGATGCTCTATCTGGTGCCACATTGCATTCAGTGGCTTGTACATTAAGAGTATTGGCCTGGCTGGCTTACTGCCCACACTCAGTTGGGGTGCGAGTAGGCCCTCCTTTACTCTCAAGCATTGCTATGCATTCATGCTCTCCTCTGAGGCAATGTGCTTGCCTCTCTCTCTCTCTTACCTCCTTCCCATGAAACTGCAGTCAGGTGCTGGGGGGTTTGGCACAACCCACATTAAGGCACACTACAACAAGTAGTGGGCCTCTCTAGGGACGGAGATTCGATGGGAGCTCTCCAAGAGCTGCCGTCCTGGTCCAGCCAATCTCACTCCATATCAGGTAAGCCCTAAAGTGGATTAATTTACTCTAATATCTATGTTTTAACCCTCAATATGGTGGCATTGAAGAAGATAGATCATTGTGGACTTCCATATACAGGGAAGAGAGAAAATTGATGATGAAATTGATGGAGTTACTAATGACAGCAAAATAACAGATGAGGTAGTTTAAATGTACCTGTACATGTATACTAGTACATGAATTTTCACTAGCGTCAGTATTGAAGGGAGGCCGAGGGGGCTTGAGCACCCCCCCCCCTCATGGCTGGGCTCAGAAAGAATTATTCAAATTCTGGACTTTTTCCTCGCTGCCAAGCCTCTTAACAAAGTTATATAGCCCCCTGATCATGATTTTCACAGTTTCCAGTGCTTTAAGGAGCTATTAGAAGTCGCCAGAAGTACCAGTATGCTTGAAATTATCTTGACCCCACCCGTAGTTCACGAAAATGAAAGAAAACGCCTTTTTACTCAGCACAAGTGTTACCATGTTTTGTAAAACTACCCCAAATTTTTATTACATTATCTGATGCATATTGAAGTCCTCATGGTGTGTAGAAAGTTTGAGCTGATTCTGACTACAGAAAATTAGGAAAAATGACAGGTTATTTAATAAAATAGGCTTCTTGTTGTAAAGTAATGCTTTGTGTTGTGAATAATTAATATTCAGTATTGCTGATACAATAATTAATACTATCAGTATAACAATATGTCCTCTTGATGATCAATATATTGATAATATTGTACATCCTTATATGGTATGTGTGTGTATAATTTGTCATTTCCTCTCTCTCTTTCTCCAGCTGGTCATTCTCAGGATTCTGGTGTACTGGTTGAACTGTGGGGACATATTTTAATATTTTTATCATCTCTTTTATAAACATTTTTATTAAAAATTATATTATTATTATTATTATGCTATATTTTTCCTTTGTCTTTTTCTTTCTTTTTATTTGCTCCTTTTTGAGAGAACTATATTGAGAATGGAAACAATGATTTGCTGAAATGGAGGAAGGTCAGCTAGAGAGAAGTTATTAAAGACTAAGGGAGAGATAGAAATAAAGGAGAGGGAAATAGAAAGAAATGATGACAACAAAAAGAGAGACAGTGACATGAGTGTGTGTCAGTAAGAGAAGGATTCAAATGTACAGTATATACTGGAGAAGGATAAGAGAGAGAGAGATCAAGAGATGTTCATGTGTTAGATTTATGATAATATAATGTGTCACTGGTCCACCTTTTATCATGTAAAGTAGTGTATTCTGATTGGTTTCTTATTGGTGAAGATGAACTCACTTTGTATAATAATTGTTGTATCAAGAAATTATTAATAAGTTCACATGAAGAGTGATTAGTTACCACCAGGCTACTCTGTCTTGTATGAGGTGATAGTTAAGATAAGTATTAATACAAGTCTCTTTGTGTCGCTTGTCTAGCCAGAGTTCAGTTATTTTATTATCCATTAGTGACTGGAGGGTGAGTAGTATTGATTCAGTAGACAATGAAGTGCTTCTTAGAGTCAGTCTAACTAGTGATGAGTCATTAAGGAGGAGCTCAAAAAGAGCCAGTCCACTATTAGAAGTGATGAGAGGATTATTAGAAAGGTCTAATGAGGTTAGTGTAGAGTTGTGTTTAAGTGCTTGACAGATATTAGTAACTTCTCTATCACTGATGGAGTGGTAATTCATGACTAGTTCTTGTATTGTTTTATTAATAGTTAGTAGTATACACAAGTACTGGATACAATCATTAGT